AGATATAGGGTAGAATAATGGCAGTTTTTTTTTCTGTTATTTACCTATTATTCACCCTTTATTTATTCATTCGACCTATGAAAGACAATATAGAAACAACAACTCAAAATGAGTCAATGAACAAACAAGGGAACTCCACTTCAGAAAGGAATACAACCCCCAGCTCAAGCAGGATAACTGAACCATTAACAAAAAAATGGTCAAGTCTCTTTTCTAAACTTAAAAGATGCCAGTCAACTTACTCATCATTTTTTTCTAGAAACACAATTAAATCTAAAAATGAAAATGCCCTTATCATAGATATACAAAACCTACAATGCTCTTTTAATGAAATTATGTTATTGTTATTTGAAACTGCTAAAAATGACATCATTGCAGCTAAACAACATCTTACTAAAGAAACACGATCACATCTAGAAATCATTTTCACAGATAAAAAAAATAAAAGATCTATGCAACAAAAGGTGTTAAAATTTTTAACAGAACATATTTTGGATATGTTCTAATGGATATGAGGAAATCATTCTTGCCAGTCAAAATCAGAAACATCCTACTAGGCAACAAAGAAGAACTGTCAGACTCAATCAAAGATGCTTTTGAGAATATAGGTAAAATGGCATCGATTAAACCCCTGTTAATTGAAGGTACACCATACCTAACAGATCAGTAGGTCATAATTTTTGAGACTACAGAGGATCCATTTTTAGAAAGTAAAATACCAAGGTTTACCCATATTTGAGATAACAAGGTCACAACAAAATAGAAGGCAGCAGCAAAAGTATGCTACTTTTGCAATAAAGAAGAGCATATTAAAAAGGAATGCCAGCTATTTCAGGAATCAGTAGCCCTCCGCCAACAATATTAAGACTTCAAAAAAAGAATTGGATCATACAGCAAAGATAATTTCACAAATATCAGATTAGAACAAGAATCTTATGCAGCTATTTCTGCTAACAAAGAAGAAAACCCATACTTGCAAGATGATATATCCATTACTAATAGTGCAGGCTTACAAGAAAATAATTTAACACAAGAAGAACAAAATGGGCCTTTGTTATCTTCAATGGAAATAGACAACAACAAAAGAAACTCTACACTAAGTAAAGATAAGGACCTCTCACCTAATCTAGTACTAGCACCTCATGATGAACTGGCTGCACTGTACCTTAATGCAGAACCACAGGCAGAAAACAAAAAATACAGATGAAACATTACCTATAATGGAAGTTGACAATGAGGAGGCCCCTATGCCATCTCATAAAAAAGACAAAGATAAAAAAGGAAAGAGCATACAGGATAAAAACCAATTAAGGCCTAGCTCATACAGAAAACAATCAATAAGGGACTGTCCTCACAGACCTAATTAGGTCAAAATTTTTATACATTACATGCCTTCAAAATTCAAACTCAAAAGCACAACTTTGAATGTAAAAGGACTAAATGATCAAGGCAAACAGCAAAAAACATTAACACTTTTAAAATCCTACAATTTAGATTTAATAATGATACAAGAAACTAATCTCAACAATGAAAACACTAGGAACTTTTTAAAATACCAATAGATATATAACTTATTCTGATCAGACAAAGTGGCAATTCTGGCTAAAACAGAAACATTACTTTTAAAAATATGAAAATACACCAAGATGGATGAGTTATCACAGCATTATTTGTCTACAAAGATCTCTTATTTTATATTACTAATGTGTATGCAACTCCTAACACTAGCAACAGAGTAATATTTTTTGATAACTAGACTCTTTAAATAAAAGAAAATGCAATAAACATTATAGCAGAATAAACCTAAAACCTGAAGCAAACAGAATAAGTCAAGCTGCACCTCAGCCAGACCTATCCAGGAACCAACTATTGGAATTAACAAGAAATCTTTCAAACATAGCAGAAATTGCAGGCTCTAAGCCTTTTTTTACATTTTACCAAAAAACACAAGGTGGTAACATAATGACAACATGTTTAAACTACATATTTATTGATGAAAATCAATTACATTTAGTCTCTAAGGTTACTACACATTTTGGTAACTCTGACCATCTTCTAGTTAGTTGCTCACTCAACTTCAACTGGAAACAAAAACAACCATCCAGCTGGCAATTTGATAAAACCATATTCAATAATGAAAAACTTAAAAAAGAGGTCTTTGAGAAAATTAGTGAATCAAATACAACAGAGGACTGGGATCTTTGCAAGGTCTACATACAATCGATTATAAGAGCATTTAGGAAGCCAAGAACAACAAAGCAAAATCTCAAAGCTTAACAATGAAATAACAAAGTTAAGTGAAAAAATAGCTGGTTAATCAAACTCAGAAAGCTTGTCTTTATCTCTAGATAAGCTTAATGTATAGCTACAAGAGGAGTTAACATCTTTGGCAGAAAAATGGCATATCTGGTCCAAGATGCAATAGATAGAACAAGGTGAAAAATTAACAAAATATTTCTTTGCAAAATATAAAAAAAAAATTCCTTGCAGCCCACTCAGAAATTAAAATTCCAAATAGTAAGTATCAAAATAGTAAGGACATTTTACAGTACATTAAAGAACAATATACAGAAACCTACAAAGCAGAAGAGTTTGACAAGAAAGCAGCAGAAGAAATTACAGAAACCTTCCACAAGTACAACATGAATCCAACAAAGGCCTAGTCAAAAGAATTACACAAGAAGAAATAATAGAAGTTATATGAAACCTACCAAATAACAAGTTGCCTGAAATAGATGACTTAACTTATGAATTCTACAACTAATAGAAGAAGCAGTGGCACCAGTTTTGGAGAAGATCTTTAATAAAACTCTAAACTCTGGCATCCTTCAGTCTCATGATGCAAGAATCTAATCATACTAATTTCAAAAAAAATCAGAAGAGCTTAACAATATAAACAACTAGAGACCTATTTCACTAGTTAATAGTAATGCAAAACTTTTTATAAAGATTATAGCCAACAAGTTAAATTTAATCTGCAATGATGTAATTCCAAGCTACCAACAAGGCTTCATCACAAACAGGTTTATAACAGACATAGCTCTTGATATCTTAACAACAATGAGAGATCAAAAAGATAACTCTAAGCAACATTGGATGCTATTTGTTGATCAGCAAAAAGCATTCAACAGAGTAAATCATGGGTTTTTAAAATTAGTTCTAAACAAAATGAACTTTGATTCAAGATTTGTTAACTTAATCAAAAACCTTTTTACTAACCAGAAGGCCCATATAGTAGAAGGAAATAACTTGTCTGAATCATTTAGAACAGAAAGAGGTGTGTGACAAGAAGATCCTCTTTTACCTCTTCTATATGTATTAGCATTTGAACCAATGCTAAAACAATTAGAAAGAAAACTTAAAGAAATTCCACTAAGAAAGCAGTTCTTTAAAGCTACAGCATATGCTGATGATCTAACAATTGGCATAGGATCAATCACAGAATGAGATATATTGAAACAATTATTCAAAACATATGAGCTTGCATCTAATGCAAAAATTAACAAACATAAAACCAAACTAGTTCTACTCACTACAAGTGTTAGACAAGTCAGAGCATGAAACATTAACCATTTTGGGATATATGATTCAACCTAATAGACATCCTAAAAAAGACCTATGGCCAACAACAATCAAGAAGCTAAAGAGCTCCTTAGAAGGCATAGCCCAAAGAAACCTCTTACTTAAAGAAAAAATACTAATAGTTAAATCATTAATAATCTCAAGAATTTGGTATACAGCATACCTTCTACTGCCAAACAGAAAACAAATAACAGAGATTAATCAGATAATCACATTATGGATAAAAGAAACCTCAAAGATGTTATCTAAATACTCAGTCTTTCAGCTTTCTGCAGACCAACAAGAACTAGAAGTCCCAATTATAAAAGATATGCTTAACACAAGATTACTAACAGTTTGGCTAAAGCTTCTAACAGGAAACTTCTTATAGTCTAAATTTGAGAGAGAAAAGATTACAATAACAATAAAAGAAAAAAGAAATATCTTAGTTCTACAAGTATTGAAAGAATCACTGATAAAATCAGCAGCTTGGCCAACAGAATAGAAACCATACATTCTTGCTTGAAAAAGAGTCTCTACCAATTGATACATCTAAAAGACTTACAGAAACAGCATGAATGCTAAGACAAACATACTACTTTCAAAAATTTCAAACAGCTGGATCCAAATAACTAATAGTGCAAACTTACAAGACATCAGTTCTGATATATTACCAGACCAAAAACCTGAAATTACAGACTCAATCGAGAAAATACAAGAAATGAATACAAAAAATATAAAAATAACAAATATAGACCTACCTATTACCCAACAAAACAAAGCAACCAAAATACTGAAAACTTTTTTTTTTATAACCCTGATGCTCAGGTCAGGGGCACGTGTGGCACTCTTTTATTAATAGTGTTTATTATTATCTATAATGTAAATATTTACATATATTCTCTTTCTTTTTAGATGAAAATCTTTTTAAGCTAAACTGTACTACTTTGATTTC